TATATCTTTTGCAACATATTTTTTCTCTACATTCAATATATTTTTTTAAATCCTTTTTAACTAATATATGTTGTATTATAGTTAAATATTCATAATTTATAGTTCATTACTAATATTGTCGAGTCAACTACACTACAACATAAAATTTTTGTTCATAATAATTTAAAAACAAAATTATTTTCGATAATTTTCTTACGTTGAATTGAAAAAAAATATATTTTTGTAACTTATTCTGACTGTATTGATGTGTAAAAATGTACTACAAATAAAAAGATGACAAATTATAGAATGTACAATTTATAAATAGTAAAGATATTATGTTATTTTAATGATATACTTTTCTATTAACGAAACTAAACAGTACCCCGAATATGAAATTATTTTAGATCCGCCATTATAATTAGTTTTCCAATGGAACTTCCATTGAATTGTTTACAATTTCAAATACAAATTTTCTAACATTTAAATATGATGAAAAATAACCCTACACAAAAATAAATATTAATAATTGAAATCATTATATCCACTAAAATTCTTATATAATTTAATTTGATATCCATTGGAATAGACAATAAAATTTTTCAATAGAAGCTATACAAATGAAATATCAAATTAATAGCGTAATACCTTACCATTGGATTTTTCATTGCAATAAGGATTATTTTGTATTCCTTCTTAAACAATAAAATTTTATGAAGTAAGTTTTTTATCAATTGATTGTGTTTAAATTTTTTTTTATTTAAAATATATTAAACATGAACTATTTTAGTCCATATATTTTTTAAAAATCATTCGTTATTTTATCTCGAGATTACCTATTAATTTATCAACCGAGTTAATTTTTTATATACTAAATATTAAATAATGAAAATAATATTATTGGGTATATGCAATATGATATTTATATATTATTATATTCAAAAAACTAATAACAAATAAAAATTTATTTAAAATTAAAATAATCATTTTTTATTAAATTTTATAAGTTCTAACCTATGAATTTAAGTATTTATTATGCTATTTTTTATGGAACATTTTTCTTTAATAAACTTTTATATATTAGAACTGTTAAATATGATTACAAGTTTACAATTAGAATTATATTAAATTTAGGGATATATTACAAATCAATATTTTAATATCCTCTAAAAACTTTATTGTTTGAGTTGAAATTGAGTTAGATCTTTGTGAGATATGAAAGAAAACGATTTGAGAGATATGCAGAAGAAAACAAATTCGCGAGCAATAATAATTCAAAAATATTGTGGTTGAATTTTAGAAGATGTTGAATGTTTAACTCGTATATTAATACCCATCATATCTTATATATTTAATTAATAAATAATATTCTACCTGAATATTTTTACTTTGACATATTTCAATGACAAATTAGTAATACAATAATACTCATCTTATCTTATATTCTTTATTAAAAATATAAGATATGATGGGTATTATTAGTATATTATCAATTTGTCATTAAAAATATAATTAAAAATATGTCAAAGAAAGTGGTTTTTAGGTAGTTCATTTTTTACAAAATCACTACTTTTATAATAGTATAGATAGATAATAACTAAAACATATGAAAAGATTTCCATTTTAACATTCATGAAATGTAGAACGTTGGAATTTCATTGATTAAAGGGAGGCATTTGCTGGCTATGATGAAATAAAGCAAACGAAGCAGGTAATGAATCTGATCTTTGTAGATGTGTATAGAGAATCTGGAAGCACACAGAAAGCCTGATGCATCTAGTTTCTTCCTCTGCTTCAAATGAATATATTCTGTCGTTGAACCTGAAAGCATATGGATACTGCTAATAAAATTTATAATTACCAATTTCTCAGCTGGGGAAGACACCACCACGATTGCCATTTGAGAAATTAAAAGTAAACCTATACCTGAACTCCTCTGATTTCCTTCTCCATAATCTATAAAATTTACTAAAATCACATTCATTTAGCAGTAAAACATAAAATACAATTCCCATGCTACTACCTAAACAAATTAATGAGATCCTTTACTGAATTGATCAATGCAAAAGGCGCTGTGAAAGTCTTTCTAAAGTTAGTTTTCCATGGAATGCTTCACTATCTTGTGTCACACAACCAAGATACGTTTCCATCAGAAAACATTAGCATTCACAAACAATACCAAAAGTCGCCATCAATAATAAGCATAGCCCAACATTCAGATATGTTAAAATGTAGGTGGTGATGGGCAATGAGGAGGGAGTTACTACTAATTCATAAAATATAAGACACACTATCACTATACCAACAACAATAATGATCATACAGAAGCAAGAAAAAAACAGAGAAAAATCCAACTCACCAGAAACTTTGAATTCTGACCATGACAGAGCACATTGTACAAATCTGGCTACGGATTTTACCCGAAAATCCGTGAAGAGGGTCGAGGTGGGGCGAAACCGGAAAATTTTTGGGGCTACCCTCGTTCTTCGATTCTTCGATCATTGCCTTGAGATCCTGAGTTCTCAGTCGGTCGCCGATGGAGGAAACGTGAAGATGTTGATTTTTGATCGACGGAGAGGTCGCTTACCGATTTTGGATTCGTGGTTGATCGACGGAGATGTCGTGAAGGATTTGGCGAGGTGTGAAGGATTTAGGTGAGGATTTCGCGATTGTGTGAAGGATTTGTACGCAAATTAGGACTGTATGTATTATATTGTTAAGACATGATTTAGGACTGTATTTTAATATTAAATTACAAAATTAATTTGACAAAATAAGGTTAATTTAGGAAAAACAAATTTTTACAGATTCATTAGCTCTTTTATAATAGTATAGATAGATATAGATTTAAAACTATTTTTAATATAAATAAAAGTACATGTTTAATAAAAGTGGATATTTATAGATTATTTATCATTTAGTTTAACGACTGAATAATTTTGAATTGTTCATATGTTTGGAAAAAGTGTTTTATAGTAAAGGGGGAAAAGATGCCGGATGCCAACCGGAAGTTGATCTTTTACGGACGAATTTTAGGGAGTGTTTGGTTGGCTGAGTTTCTTTCTTTTTTTTGATATTTTCCTGCTGATTCTTGTGGCT